GATGGTAGGCCTATCCTACCCCCAGGACTAAGACAAACAGCAATGGAAGAGGCACATGGGGTAGGACATGTAGGGGTAGCACAAATGCTAAGAAATCTTGACCATTGGTGGCACCCTTTTCTCAAAGACATGGCTCAGTACCTGACTAAGACATGTGAACAATGTACCAAATTTAACACCAGACCTACCATCAGACCAGAACCAGGAAGGTATCCATTGGAAACAAAACCAGGAAAAGAGATCATCATTGACTACACAGACATGGTAGATTCGGTTCGAGGGTACAGGTACGTTTTGATGTGTGTAGATGCGTACACAGGGTGGCCAGAAGCCTGGCCTACGAAGAAAGAGGATGGTAAGTCGGTAATAAAATTCCTGGTAAACCACTATATACCAAGGTATGGATTCCCAGAAAAAGTAAGATCAGACAACGGGACTCATTTTAAGAACAATGACCTCCAACAGGTGGAGGCGATGTTGGGACTAAAACACTCTTTTGGTACAGTCTATCATCCTCAGTCACAGGGCAAAGTTGAAAGAATGAATCAAACGGTAAAAAACAAATTGGCTAAAATCTGTGCACAGACCAAAATGAATTGGCTAGACGCCCTACCGTTAGCCTTAATGTCAATAAGAAGTTCAGTCAACCACTCCACAGGGTTCACACCACATGAGTTACAAACAGGGAGAGCGTTTCCCGGCCCACACTCCAAACTCCCTCTCACCCAAAATGATGATCAAGATCTAACTTCTAAAGCTTATTTCCACGAACTGCAGGGTTTGGTGTCTACATTTTCAAAACAGGTGAAGGACCAGCAGACCGCAGGAAAAGGCACAACACCTCCAGAGGCAGAGTGGGTTCTGCTCCGAGTCATCAAAAGGAAGTGGTCGGAACCACGCTGGACAGGTCCATTCCAGGTAACTGAAAGAACAACCCACGCAGTACGCCTGAAAGGAAAAGGAGACACTTGGTTTCATTGGAGCCAGTGTGCAGCAGCTGAGGAACCACAACGCTCCCTGATCGACATTCAGAGAAACCTCCAAGAACAGAACACCGAGTCGGCTGACTCGGAGACAGATCCTACCGACAAAGGGGCAGAATAATCCCCTGGTAGTGATCCAAGACTCTAGGGTAGTCCACCCCTGGAGTCCGAAAAGAAGAACTCCATCCGGGAGGAGGTGAAATAGCGCTCCTCTCCTACAAGTAGCGTGCCAAGCTACCACCTCAAGAAAGAAGACATCTCCTAGATGAACCTTATCAAATTAACATTGTGTATTGCATGCTAGTGTATTTTTCTTGTCATGGGCCTTGTTTAAACTAGTTATCACAGGGACAACGCGTTTTTAAAGAATATAACAACGCAAAGCATATTTATGCTACCGCTTAAATACGAGGCCTTATCTATACTTTTACTAATAATCATCGTTTATGTAATTTTATGGTTTTACTTCAATCTCCCTATTCAACAGTGTAATCATACTCAACAGATAGGATATCAACATGCTCCTGTGGTGCCTACTTGGTATACTGCTCTGGGATAATTGGGAGAAGGCAACGTCTCAGTATCAATCATCTGTACTAGTCGCCTTTCCAAATCCATGCAACAAACCTAACACGTATAGAACCGATGAACTATATTTTTGTTATAATCATACCCGCGTACGGGCCGTCATACAATTCCGGAAAAACAGTTTTAAAATAGGAGGTTATACAGCGACAGAATGGGGCAGTTATCCTTGGTATCTCGAGAGCCCAGGGGCTCAACAAGTAGGTGGTGGATGGAAGAATGTGTTCGCTAACACAGGAAACTGGAAAAAAGGATCTTTTGGCACAACTCAACTCGCTAAAAATTGGACATCTAGAATAGAGTTACACAACTCCCCTGGAACGCTCACCCTGATAATAGATACTACTCAGATACCCCTAGAAACTAAACCACCGAGTAACGGTCAGATCGCCAATCCTACTTGTGATGTTATCGGATTGTGCATATACAGATCAAGCGGAGTTTACAGACACCCATGCGTCCCAATTAAATTCTGCCCTAATGTTACCACCCAGAGTCAAAGTTCTCATAACAAGGATGAGATTGCAAGTTCCGGAACCTTAACCATAGGATCCAGAACAACTGCACGTAGACCCACAGTAATTAACGGTGAGCCTTCTATGGACGGCTGGTTCATGATGGCAACAGGGATCACGGGTACAGTCAATAATTGGTTATTAATGGCGGAACAGGCAGCAAATGCCTCCGGAAAAAATTGTATGGTATGCATGGGACCCAGACCATTACTTCGTGTCGTACCAGCCCCTTTGGACTCCACCTGTTTGGAAGAAGTAATGGGTAAGACCGTGCCTGCAGGTAACTGTTCTAGATGGGATAACATATTTCCAGTAACCAGGTCGACATCTTACAAACCTCTTTTTTCATCCAAAGTGGCACCAGGGAACTTCACATGTATAGATATTACAGGTGAAAAAGAGTATAAATCTTCCCCTATACAAAATTGCACCAAAATCATTAAGCTTCTAAGTAATTTCAAGTCCGTACCAAGAGCTGATGTATGGTGGCATTGCGGAGATGACAAATTATATGACAAAATCCCATGTAACCACTCGGTGATATGTGCACTAGTTACTTTGATACTCCCAGTCACGATAGTACCTATGTCAGTGAGCGACTTGACCAAAACACCTGATACACCTATGGTTTCAGGGCGTACTCGAAGGAGTGCATCATGGCAACCATGGGAGAATGCAGGTGACCTGACATACATTGACGCCATAGGAGTCCCGCGTGGGGTTCCAAATGAGTACAAAATCGCTGATCAAGTTTTGGCAGGGTTTGAGTCCATTTTATGCTGGTGGTGTACTATTAACAAAAATGTGGACCGCATCAATTATATTCATTATAACGTACAGCGACTGAGCAATTGGACCCAGGCTGGATTTGAAGCCATACATGCTCAACTGTCGGCCACATCCCTGATGGCATTTCAGAATCGTATCGCTCTTGACATGTTACTCGCAGAAAAAGGGGGTGTATGTGCAATGTTTGATGATCAGTGTTGCACATATATCCCCAATAATACAGCACCAGATGGGAGTTTGACACGTGCCATAGAGGGTCTGAAAACTTTGAATAAGAAAATGAAAGAACATTCTGGTGTGGACACCACCATGTGGGACAATTGGTTGAACGTGTTTGGAAAGTACAAAAGTCTAGTCACATCAGTTCTTGTATCTCTCGCGGTGTTTGCTTCCATCCTTACTCTCTGTGGCTGTTGTTGTATACCTTGCATTCGTGCTTTACTCACCAGATTAATTAATACAGCCCTAGCCCCAAACTCTGAAGATGTACCACACATGTATCCATTGTTAGCCACGGAACCCGAGGAGTGCGAAGATTATCAGCTAGAAAATCGAGAAGCATACTTCTATGGTAATGTTGAACTCTGAAAAGAGTTCAAAAGGGGGAATTGTGGATGAAATGTATTCATATGTTCATAGTTTATAGAAGTATGCAACATATATAATCATGTTTTATAATAGAATAAATAATCATAAGAGATGTGCTAAAACATATAACCAGTTTGAACATAAAATGCTGCTTAAAGCTAAAACTGAAAATATGCAGCTGTAAGAAAAGGAGCTGCAAGGTTGAGGGGCACCAAGGTTTGTTGTTACAAGAGGAGTACTTGGTGAGATAGGGATCAGAAACTAGTAGATCACAATTTGACAACGGCTAGGTTGAAGGTTAGAGCATAAGGTCACAACAACAGCACTTAGGTGCGATAAGAACAGGATGAGAAACCAAGGGAGTAGATGTTGTTGTCAAAATGTATGTGTGTGCGTAGAACAAACGAAGTTTGTACCACTTGACATGTACCCCCTGGATGTTGGAGAGAATAAAAGAGCCTGAGTTTGGGGAGAGAGCAGGATTCAGCAGTCAACCCCCTGACTCTCCGCTGGACTCTCCCTGTGCACAGGTGAACTCGAGCAACGATCTTTGTCTTTTCTTTGTACTTTGTGAAAGTTCTAGATCAACGAACCTGGGGTGGTAAAACCTTACCACGACAGTTGTCAAAGATGGCCTTGCTGGATGGTGACACAGACTGGTAAAGTCCTCAACTGTTGAAAAAATAAAGAGGATAAACTGAGTAGAATGTGTTTGAGATTATTTATCACCTTTTAAACACTAGCCAAAATATAATAAAATACGTTCTACTTTGTAAACTTCCATCACTAGAACTATCAAGCAGTAAGCTTCTCATCTGCTTCTCCATCTCTTCATCTCTCCTCGTAAACATGGTAACTAGGAATATAAAAAATATGTGTAAACGTTATTTTACTGACAAAGTATAGAAGTACAGAGTGTATAGATGACAGAAGACCTGTCAGAATTGTTGGAAAACACATGTCACATTAACCTACTGCAACCACACCTGCTCTGCTCTGTCCTGTCGTCCCTTGGCCTTCATACAACCCCCTCAATGCCTGAGGCATGACAGAAAACATACACATAAATACCTGAAAACAGCACAAACCAGATGTTGTTTAGAAAAAGTACTTGATGTATTAAACATCTAACATCTAACCATTCTTTGATATCCTCCATCTTCATCTTTCTGTCTTTTTCTTTTATCTAAATAAAGAAAAAGATTTTCAGCAAATTTTTAAAGCGTTAGGACATTTCTACAATCAGTTTACGATTCAACCAGAACTATACATAACATTTTAAATATTTCTCATCATCATGCAATAGCAGTTAGTATGATACCTACAGTATATTAAAAGCTGTGTAACTACCTCTTCTGATGAGTTCCCTGCCTTCATCCACCAGGTCAGAGGTCAAGTTATCATCAGTGAGATACTGAGGGAAGCCCATCAGGTTTAGACAGCGAGAACCCAAACTACAAATGCAAGCAAACATGCACTATTTGAAATACACGCGGACATATAAAACAGTGTATTTATATGTACATTTTTTATTGCTTACCTAAAATAAGTGGCAAAGCACAGCAGTAAAGTCAACATGGGATAGTAGATGTAGAATCCACCAGATATAAAAGACAGCACATGCTGTCTTTCCCATGATATGCCAGATCCCATGATCTGGCATAAAGAAAATGAATTGGTTATTTCATTACTTCACTTTTAAAAAACTTTAAGTTTAAGTTCTGTTGTACTATAATTTTAAATACTCTAATTTGTGCTGGGTGTGTTGGTACATTTTTAACTCACAGAAGTATATGACGTTTGGATTCTGTCCTGATGAGAAATGGCACAATGAGCAGTTCATGTGGATCAGGCCCAGAAAGTTTAGACACAAAGGAGAGGTGAGACAACAAAACAACCTGTAAAGAAAAAAAGGTCACTAAACAGTTTTTATGGTCATGATAGTCATTTTGTGCAAGACCTTTTATTTTTATATAATGTAAAAACCCTGTAATTTGCAATGGACTGAACTGTTCCTTTGACTTTATACCATATCTCAATTTTTGTCCTTCTAAAAATACTACCTAGACCAGATATTATGGATGTTTCTGCAAAGAAGTCAGGGTGAAAATATTTTAAAAATATAATGATTTCTATTGTGGTGGTGGGGGTGAGGTGGATGCAAACAATACAGAAAAAGAAGTATTTAGTGTCCAGAATATTGTCCAACAACACAGTGAAACAGATCCTCAGTGTAGAACTCATTGGTTTAGAACCTACATACTATAGGCCATTTGGTGAATGATAGGAAAACACTTGGATTTTCTGGAGAAGCCATTCATAAACCCTAGTCAACAATTACTAGCCACCTACAGTATTTCCTGACTGTGTTTATTCCAACACACTTCAAAACCCAGCGTCACCTGATCTCAAATTACCATTACCATTAACTGTCTGACTGAGACCAAAGCAACAGATTTTAACTGCTGTGGTGCATGACGGAATCTGATTCAAACAGAGCAGCTAATTTTCCATGTGCAGGAGTGATACCCACTGCTTATACTTTTCAATTTTTGGTCAGTTTTTGACATTGTTGACATTGAAACGTTGTAGTGGTTAAAAAATCGTATCTGAAAGAATGCAGAGTAGACACACACACACAAGAAGAAGATAACACTGAAGCACGGCATCTGGCAAAGAGAAAGAGAACAGCAGGTACAGAAAGAACCCAGGTTAGCAGTTTTAGTTAAGGGTATTAACTTGGAGTTAAAATGTTGTCGTTTCACACAGACAGCAGATTTCAGATAATGACAGAAAGAAATACACACGATTAACTGTATGTGCAAATTAATATTCAATTTAATACGAGAACTGTAATTACATACAGTATATGCTAACCTCAATAAACATGTAATTCTATTGTTTTTCAGCCATCTGTATGAAGACAATGAAGAGGGAAAGGATGGGGCGTGTGCTAAAGAAGGTGCACTCTGACCAGACCACAACCGCAGATAGGAGACACAGCAGAACAGCCAGCAGCCTGTAGGCACCCTGTCTTAACACACATTCCCAGTACCACTCTGCAGAGGAGACATACACACACATTATTTCAAGATGGCACTAACTTGCATCCCATAAATATATTTTTTTTTATCATTACTTATTACTCGACTCCTACTTTTTAAAAAAAAGGAAGATACTTTTGCTTTGTGCACAATGGCAAAAGAGAGGTGAATGTATAGGAATGTAGTGAGTTAACTCACCCACAGATGGTGTGTAGATGAATTGATGGATCCAGTTGTGACTCCGTGTTGAGGGAAAGCTGTGGTTGAAATGTAGGACTGGACTGTTTTGGCTTTTTGCTACATCTTCCAGATGAAAAGTCTGCTCTAACAAAATAACCCATTGGACCTGAGTCTGACTTTGTCTCTGCTCAGCAGATATGACCTGAAACACAGTTACACAAATAATACATTTCAAGCTCATGCAACAATATTTCACATCTTGTTTCTCTCAACCAAAATAAACAAATGCTTTTTTGTGAAGCCCAATCAGGTCTCTTTGGGTGGGAGGGTCAGAGGAAGTTTTAGCCTCCCTTCTGTGTATGAAAATATTTTATTTGTGTACACAATAAATGGAAATGTACTGATTATGTGCAAAAGAAGTGCTTGTGCTACACTTATAGTATTGTGACTCTGAGACAGTTGTTTTTCTCAGGCTCGCCTGTGCCTGCAAGAATGTACAATGCACTTCTTTGTTACACTGGAAACTGTGAATGAACCCACACATGATGTACTTGTCCTCCTCACCAGGTTTGGACAATGGACGATTGTTTCTATAACCATATATGGAAGGACTTCCTAAGCTAGCTGAGGCCTTGAAGTCTAACACCTGCATTCTGTATTCTGTGTCCAAACCGAAACCTAACAACTGTATGATGTAATCATATAAAAGACAGTTCGCCTAACAGGAAGCCAGTCATCTCTAACAGCTGTATTAGACAGAGTTAGGTTCGGCTTTCTTGATCAAGATACTCAGAATAACGATGAAAAGACACAGGATATTGTTTTACACCGTTGAAGATCACAAGGTTAAATTTAAAAACATGTTTTTACCTTTGTTAAAATGGTGTTGACACACTTCCTGAGAGAATGATTGTATTTGACAGAATCATTAACGGCTGCCACCTCCTGATAACACATACCTCATACTTATGTGGATTGTGTTTTTCAGATCAGTCGTTTGTTGAAGGCCTCCTCTGAACTGGACTCACCTCGATCACATCAACTAGGTTCTCCTCTGCTCATGCCTTCTCAACAGCCATTTTTGCTACCTTGAAGTAGGTTTTGGCCTGCAGGTGTCCAAGGGAAGAAGAAAGCCAATACAAACGCGGAATTTCAACCAAGCCGTAGCCGAGTAGCAGCACCAGAAGGAAGAGGCCCCAGGTGTTGGCAGCTGAGAGCTGTTTTAATCTTCCCAACTCTGCTGAAAGCTCCAGATCGAGCATAAGACTGCATGAAGGGCAACAGCAGCCTAGTAACAAACGACAAATGAGAGAAAAAGCTAATGAACAAAAACATTTGTGAAAGTGGAGCATACAGTACACTGGGTACAGTACGAATTGTCGAGATATGTAAACAACTGTCCAAAATATAAGCAAGACATCTGAAATGTGACTCCAGGGCTGCTGACACACCTTAGTTACCCTGTGACATACAGGTACACACATACACATACACACACACAAACACACACAGCAGTTTGCAGTAGCTTTGGCACATACTGAACTTAAAAACTCTTTAACTCTAGTTCCATAAAACACAAAAAAAAATCAAATGTTTAAAAAGTGTTGAAAAGTCTAAAATTACTCATTAGACTCATTAGAGCTGAGTGCATAATTGCAATTGTCATTCCACTAATATTAAATATTTTTTATCAGTCATTATACATTTACTGTACATTCCAATAATATATATGTACATAGAGTATATACGTACGTGTCTGTATGTATGTATATATATAAGAAATATATTTATATGTATGTTTGTGTGTGTATGTGAATAATAGCTGCAGTTGTTCCCTTTGTTTTGATTATTCAAGGTTAATTCTATTTACCTTGCAGGCAGATAAGTAGATGAGCTGGCCTCAGTGTTACTGGTGTTTACTGGTGCCAAATCAACATCACGCAGGCTCACAGTTATAGCAGTAGTAGAGGAAGATGAGTCCAGTTTACAAATAAACACATCCTGAATCTACCATATTTTTATCTTCTTCTTCTTTTTCTTTCAGCTTTGTCCCTTTTTATTCAGGGGTTGCCACAGCAATTGATTTCCATCTCTCCCTGTTCTCTGTATCTTCTACTCTGACTATCTGCATGTCCTCCCTCACTGCATCCATATATCTCCTCTTTGGCCTTCCTCTCTTTCTCCTACCTGGTAGCTCCATCTCTAACATTCTTCTCCCAATGTATCCACTG